CTAGGCTGTATTATATAGTGGACTTACTTATTCCTATTGATCTCACATCTTCCGTACTCAGGTTTTTTACTGAATCAAGCATTAACCAGATTGACTATTAAAATCTGTACTATTTCACCTAATTTGGGATTTCTACTATGTAGGTTCTCTGCTCATAGATCCTATCAAGATTTATTCGTGTAATATAACTCAAACATTGTATCATACTTCCAATGTCTGATTGATATTGGTATAAAGTGATTTATAGAGTTACAAGCCCCAAAAACAGACAGGGTTTACTATAAGTTGAATACAAAGGTCTGAGTAATTATTCAAACTCATTGACAGTAGGATTTGAACTCCAGATCTTTTACATAGTGGTCTGACAATCTAACTACTACACTAAGATCACCAGACTCTTTTATAAATATCATAATAGCAGTAATATATAAAACAGAATAAGCAGAACTGAGTGCTCTAAAGATATAATTAATATCAGATCTAGTAATAGTAAGACTGATAATATAAATTAGAAAAGTACATAAGAGGTATTCAAGCAGTATTAGAGAAGAAGAGGTATGAGTCTTAAAAAAAGTAAAGCCTTGATATTTAGAATAAAATATTTAAATAAGCTACTGCTAACTCAGAATATTTGTTTTCAATATAGACCAGAACTGTATAAAGATGAAACCTGCATAGCATGTTGTATAACTAAAGAAATATTTAATTATCTTGCAGAGTATGTAGTTTATTAAAATATTTAGAAACATATAAAAATGTAATCTTAGAGAATCTGCAGTTTAAGATCCTAGAAAAGTAGGATATTTTAATAGCAAGTGAAAATTTAGCTAAGGTTTTTTTAGGAATTGAGTCAGAAGACAAAATCCAAAAAAGAAAACTATATCTCTGGAGTCTAATCTGTGAAAAGCATATCACTGAAGTAAAAGAATTACTAGAGTCAAAGTCTAAAGCAAACCAAGTTGTTAACTGGTTTATAAACTTGTTTTGATTGAACTTCTATGAAAAGCTATAGAAGTTTTATTGTGAAGTAAAAGTCAACTGTGAAAAAGAAAAAAAGATTAACTAACAAAGAAAAAGAAGAAAAGAAAAGAAAAAAAACAAAAGTAATTCAACAAACAAGGAAATTTGTATAGATACTAATAAAAAAAATAAAGGAATCTTAATTAAACAAAGGAAAAAGAATTCTGAAAGAAGCAAAAGATAAGGTTACAAATTGGATCGTAAAAGAAGAGTATAACAAATAGTTAAAATTCAAAAATAAATAACTAAAATTTTTTGATATAGGCTAGAAGTAACTTTCTTTTGATTAAAACAGGTTTAGCATATGCTAATATGTATCCTGTTTTGGGAAGAAAATCACTACTGCAGCAGATTGTACTTAGGTACTATGTTGGTAGCTAAGTGAGTTCAGAATTGCAAAAAAGAAGGCAATCTTAAGATTAGAATAGTTTTAATTTTTCTTAATTTTTTGTATTTGTCTTATTACTATATAAATAATTCTCTTAATAAAATGAAAGACAAGATCACCTAAGTTAAAAAAAAAAAATATATTAACTTGTTCCTTAATTACTATTAATCAAAAATATGCTAAATAAAATAAAATCATTAAGAAATGAAATTTAATTTACTAGTATGTATTTTTAGATTTCTTTAGATATTTCACAAGTTAGATTCTTTTAAATCTAGTTAGCTATCAGACTAAGTTAGTGTTGTTATATATAAATTAAATCTAATTTTAAAATAGGTTTAATAATGTTTTAAAAATTTGATTTAAAGTTTAAACTATAGAAGAGAATCCTTTTATAAAAGCATTAGCAGATGTTCTTTGCAAAAATACTACTTTGTTAATAGAAGTATCAGATGTTTAATAGAAGTATCAGAAGTAATAATTCACTACTAACACTTTTATTACAGGTTAAAGTAAATCTGTCTTCAACTAAAAAGCAAAAAATTGATAATATTACTATTTTATTAATCACGATACATATGAATATTGGATGGAAACAAGATGTAAAGTCAGAAATAAATTCAGTAAATCTTACTAAAACTTACATCTCATAAAAAAAATTCGATTGAAAATATCTAGTAGCAACATTATATAAATAATGTAATATAATATTTTATAACATTAGAATTTTTATTATAATAGCAAAGTATATTCTTAAATTGATTATATCAAAATTTTTATTATTAGCTAACACTACAAGAATGACTTTGACAAAATTTTAGATTTCTTTTTCGAAATCATAATGATATCACCGGCAAATTTGTCATCTTGAATGAGCGTTATAAAAGCATCAATCACTTTATCCATAGGAATAAGACCAATTTTCTCAATATATTCTACAAGAGTAGGCTTTGCTTTTAAAAGATCGTCCACCATATTCGTTTCTGATTAGTTAATAAAATTATATTAAGGTCAATTAAAACAGATAATTAATAAATAAATGGAGATAATGAATAGAAATAATAGCATTTTTTTTTAATGTACGTACCAACAAATGCAGGTGCAACAGCATTTACACGAATTTTATCAGTTTTGTTTAGACCACGTAGTGCTTCTGTAAAACCAACGACCTTAGAAAAAGAAATTAAATAAAAATAACGATCAACAACAAAATATATAATTAAATAGATTTTTTAGATTACGAATTCGAATGGTTAAAAAATTATAAACATACTGCACGTTTTGTGGTACTATATATTGGTAATAAAGGCATAGGATAAAATGCAGACATCGAAGCTACAGATATTAAACGAAAAAATATATATATAAGAAATCGATTACAGTACATTGTAGATGTTTTTTTTTTTTTTTTAAGAAAAAAAAAAAAAAGCGAGTAAATTTAAATTTAATTTTATTTACCTTCATATTTGCATTCTTTGCAGCCTTAATTCCATTGATTGCGTCCTCGAATACCAAACATTGATTCTTAGGAGGATTACCAATCCCTTCACATGCTGTAAGAAATAAGTCCGGTGCAGGTTTACCATTCTTGACATTTGCATCGTCCCCACAAGTAATACTATCAAACATATCGAATAATTCTTTATTATTGGAAGCTTTAACATTGAAACTTTCACGATTTGAACTTGTTGCCACCTATTCATTGTACGTTATTTATTATTATTATTTAAAGGTAAAAGAAAGGTGTTTTTCGTGTAATTGAGCATACCGCTATTGGAATTTTGTGTTTTTTCAAATGAGCTACAAGTCTCTTATTTAATAAATAAAATATTTATTTAGGTTATTTTAACTTAAAATACGCAAAACATACTGTAATTAATTTACCATAACACCAGGCATAGGTTTTGCAAATGGAAATCTTTCAAGCTTTATAATTTAAAAAAAATTCATATAAAAAAAAAATAAATAAAAATTAAATAATTGACGTTAAGATCTATATACATGACATACATTTTTTTCATGTCGTTCCTTACGAAATTCATCCGCCGTAATATCAATACCTGTTTCATTTACTAAGAGGACAGCAGACTAAAAAAAATGTTTTTAATTATAAAGATGATAGTTATATAAGTATGAAATTAGATGGCAAATTTGTACCTCTTGTTGACGAAGACCAAGTGAACGTGATCTGAGTTCTAATGAATAAGTTTTCCCAAATCTTGCCAAAATTTCGGCTAAAAAATATCATTCGAATTAACAATATGCTGTATATTAATTAATTAATAGGTAACATAATAACTATTACATGTTACTTCATAATAGATTTCTTCAGTATTCTATAAAAAAGTAATTATAAATTTTGGTTAATGACTTAAAAATATTTGTAAATTAGAAAACGTGCCGCTAGATAAAATTACCAATAGCAAACCTGTATTAATAAAAAAAAAAAAAAAAAAAAAAAGAAAAACGGACACATAAAGTAGATTAACAAATATAAATATTTAAATAAACATATACTATATAGATACTGACCATCCATATCAAATATGCAATGAGTTATGGCGACTTCATCGGTTTTACCATTATTCTCTTTAACACTAGCTACAATCGATCGATTATTACTTATTTCTGTCATTTGTTCTCACTTCTGTCTTGTTCTCTAAAAGTTTTTAAATTTTTCATACGCATTATTTAAAATAAAATTCTAATTCTTAAAGGAAAATTCAGTTAATTATTTCATTTATCATAATGACTTACAACATACAAAAGAAGGCGGTAAATGCTCCCAAAAATATAAACGAGCAGCAATTATCGTTTAATATACGATCTGCAGTAATACAACTTATGTATTATCGTTATACGTATTGTTACTATTGTAAATTGGGAGAGCGATTAATTATATCCGGTTTAGCTCCAATAGTTAACGTGGATTCTATAAACTATATATATGGATCGTGTATTATGTAAAGGTCGGATTGGTCGTTTAAGGGAGATGAAATAATTTTTTCTTTGAATGATTTTGATCCGACAAAATTTGGATTGCCATCTTTCGATGAGAAACAAGATGTTTTGTAAATCATTCTATAAAAATTATGAATAAATATAGATCAAGACGTCCACTAATAATATTATTTAGAGCATCTACTCCTTTATTATAAGAGATCAACAAACCTTAAAATTTAAAATTCATGATTAAAACTCAAAAAAAAAACTAAGTCAACTAAAATGTTGATAAGTCCTACAACCTGATTATGTAGGAAAGTTGCTATCATATTTATCGAATTCATTAATATTTATGATAACATAAAAAATTTTCAAATTTTGCACGTTTTAATTACTATATTGCGCATTATTTTCTGAATCAAATATCCTAAAAAATTTTACGTATCACAAATATTTATATATATAGAAAACCCGATATCGATACTCGTGATACATGAGTTTAAGAAAAAAAAGAAGTTGAAATTTTAATGAACCTATCTATAGAACCCTAGTATTATATGGCTACCTCAATAAATAATAATTTACAGATAACTCGGGTAATCTAGTAATCTAGGTAGTGATTTTCTCAATGGTTCAAAATCATCGTCGTACAAAAAGCTATTCTAATATTGTTTTAATGTTAAAAAACGTAGTGTGCGTATAATAGTCTCCAATTTTTTACACTTGAAGTTGCCAACCCTAAGTCTCATAGAGTTCTCATAGCATCAAAGTATCTGTTTAATAAATTTGCCGATATTGCAAACTTTCTTTTTTTTCCTTTTTTTTTTTTTTTTTTTATTATTATTAGATGAGCCAGTAGAAGGACCTTCAATGTGCAATACATTCCTTGCCTATGTAGGCGCATAGTATATGTAAGGACAGTAATTAAAGAATTAATCGTACTTATTTAGGTATCTAACTTAGAATTCCGTGTAACACCTACAATTAGTAATACCCTTGTTTTTCTGACTATCATTATAGGATGTTACCCACGACTAAATTAGATTCGCTCTTGTTTTTCAAAATCTGTGTAATGTTACACTTGATTTTTAAAATAACGTAATAATTACTTTAAACCTATCTGTTCTATAGTATTAACGTTTTTTTTTTTTAATTTTTTAAATTATGTCAGTTAATCCCGCAAACCCACCAAGACCTGCTCTTCGAGCAGCGGACAAGGAGACTTTTGCATATATCACTGCAACGCATAGATGGCAAGATATCATAAAAAAAGCCATCGATAATATTAATGATTCTCTTAATTCTTCTGAAATTGATAAGAACGAAGAAGGAAAAAAAATCATTGCATCTATGGAAGAATTGATAAATCAAATTCAAAGAAAAGATCAATTAATGTATGTAATCACAATATAATTCTTTTTAATTAAATCTTATTTTACTTTAATGATTTCATATTTTTAAATTTTTATTTTAACAATTAATTTTGAAGTCAAATTGATGATGATGGAAGATCTGATATTGTAACTTGGGCCAATATTCTAAATACTTATTTTAAAAATGAAACTTGGTTCACTGCAACTTGGTTATTCGCTGAATGTTATTTATATCGTCGAATTATTTCTATAATTACAAATACTAAATATTGGAGAAATTTTGATCCTTTTTTTCGTCAAAAAGAAGATTCTTTTAAATTATCTTTTTCTAAAATAATTGAATTTTCAAAACGTATAGATGAATTAATTTCTTCCTCAAAATTGATTATAAATAATAAGATTATCTTTTTTGAACTTGCTCAAATATCACTTTGGGGAAATGCGACTGATTTATCTATGTTACCAAATTTTGGTACTAATAATAATCAAGATATTGAAATAAAATCATTAGAAAATTCGGAAAAATTTATTTTGGTGAACGATTTGGAAAAGGCATGGAAATGGTTATCAAAATTTAATAATGTTAGAATTGATTTTGTTCTTGATAACGCTGGTATATTTTTTTTTCTCATTTACAATTTTTTTTCATAAACACATTCGTCATACTTAAAATGAGATCTTTTTTTTTTTTTCTTACACAGGGTTTGAATTATATGGTGATTTAATTTTCTCTGATTGGTTAATTCAATCTGGATATGCTTCAGAAATTCATTTACACTTAAAACCAATTCCATGGTTCGTCTCAGATACAACATTAAACGATTTTAATTGGTTACTTAAAATACTTAAAAGTAATAATTTCTTTTCAAAAATTTCCGAAATTGAAAAACTCTCCCTTGAGAAATTGGTTGATCGTTGGCAATCATATATAACAAATTCAAAATGGATTATTACCTCGGATTTTTTTTGGACGTCTCCTTATTCATTTTGGCATTTAGAAGAAAAATCTCCAGAATTATATTCAAATTTATGTAAATCCCATCTTATTATATTTAAAGGTGATTTAAATTATAGAAAATTAGTATATGATTGTAAGTGGAAGACTATCACTCCTTTTAAAGAAGCTATTGGTCCATTAGCAAATTCGAAAAATGCACCACCGTTGTTAGCTTTAAGAACAGGTAAATCGGATATATTTGTAGGACTTGATGAAGGAATTGAAGAAAGATTAGGTACTGATAAAAGTTGGATGTATTCTGGAAAATATGCGGTAATTCAATTTAGTGAAGGAAGTAAATGATTTTTTTTATATGAGACTATTTTTTTATATATCTATTTTGATAAATTATTTATTATCAAATGTATTTTATTATTTATTATTTATCATGAATAAAGAGTCACAAATTTTCTTAAATATCCATTTTTATTTTTGCAGAATTATTAAGAATTGGCATTAAAAACACCAAAATATAACAAAAAAGCTCTCTTTGAATATTAAATCCTAAATGAGATTGGGACCAAGATCAGTTGGACGTTAGATAGTGTTCTTACAGTAGCAATAAGAAATTCTTGCCATTGGCAAGTTTTTATCATATCCGCCGATTTGATTTTAGGGATCTTTTTTTCGATAAACGGTTACACGTAGGGATTGGCCACTGCGCAGTGTGATTTTTAAATTCAGGCTAGCTAGTATAATTCTGGCAGCTGACATAACTCTGGCCAACTTGAATAGAATTATATCTCTACTATATTGGCTAGGTGCTGGAAAAAGGGCCGAATATGACAATTTTTTCAAATGAGTTTTTTTACATAAATCAATTAGAATTAAATTAGGATCATTTACACTTAAGATACCAAAGTAGTTGTATTTATAAAAATTGATTTTCTTAAGATCTTTTTTTTTTTGTCCTTTTTCCAGCACCTAGCCCATATGTTATGCACAGAAAATTTGAAAAATTCACGATTTGCCAACTGGGGCAAAATCGCAACCCTAAAAAATTTCACTGGCCAATCGAATTTCAAGGTCATGTGTAACGTAGTACGATCAGGAAAATTCAAAAAAAAGTTTGTAAAAAATTTTGCCCTAACCTAACAAACCAAAATTTTACTTCTAAATATGGTTTGAAAATTTTTTGGGTGACGATTCTACTCTAATTGATTTGCCTATTTTTAGTTACACGAACTATTAACATTAAAAACAACCAACTAAGTACTCAATAAAAGAGCTTCTTTAGTACCATAAGAAATAAATACAAGTAAAATGGCTGTAAAAGAAGGCACTGTCACTATTTTTTGAGACTTTCGGATATTTCGGGTAAGTGAACGATCGGTTGTATAATCGATAAGGTAAATTCGGAAGCAAATTTTCAGAAAAACGGCCTTTTTTAATTTACTTCCAACCTTTAATTAAATATGAAGATATTACAATATTCTATAGGGTTTTATTTTTTATACCCCAAATTTATTAACCATACCCTCTAGTGAAATTGCAATTTTTTAATGAAGATATCTTAGCACTTACCTAACCAAATTTGATAAAAAAAATCCATTTAATTTTACAGATCAGTAGAATCCAAACAAAAGAAAAAAAATTCTATTTTAATTCTACAGGTAGAATTCAAACAAAAAAAAAAATTTATCGAATTTGGTTAGGTAGTTGTCAAGATATATTTGACTTAAGTTAATAAACAGTTCAAAACATCTATCAAAATTGAAATAATCTAAAGTTTCAAAACTTTGAATAAATATATTTTACTTGATTACTAGATTAAATTTAATAAATTTTTTTATTTTAATTCTAAATTCTATAGAATTTAAACAAAAAAATTTTATTGAGATATTTTTGTTCAATATCAGTAAATAATTCAAAACATCTATTAAAATTAATATTTTAATTTTTTTTTTAAAATTTTAAACAAAGAAAAATTTATCAAAATTTATCTAGTAGATGTTATAAGTAAGTTTAAAAAGTTGTTTTTATAACAACTTAAATTAAAATTTTATTATTATTATTATTATTATTATTTTAATAATAAGGTTTATTCTCTAACTCTTTATTTAATTCAAATAAAATAATATATGTAGAGATAATATATATACAATTAAAAGAAAAAAGAAGAAGTAGAAGTAAGAGTTAATTTACTCTTGATTTAAACTATATTAGTAAGATTATAAACTACTAGCTTTTGTATATTAAGAAAAAAGAATTATATTTAATATTTATATATTATTATAACTTATTTATAATATATAAAGATAAAAGAAAAATAATAATAGAAAGAGGTATTACTATAAGTAAAGTAAAAATAGAAAAACTTATTATATATATAATTTAATAAGAAGGTAACTAAATTTCTTGATATATTAATTTTATAATTAGATAATAAATAGTAGTATATATTTTATTTTATCTAGATATTTATTTTAAGTAAAACTTCTTGTTGAATATAAAGATATTTAAATTAGTTGTAGTAAGGTCTAGTTCTTAAGAAGTTATTAGAATAGTATCTCAAATTAAAGAGTTTAATATTATAGAATTCTAAATACAAAAAATTAAGTATAAGTTGTTTTTAAGTCTAGCATCTATAGCTTAGTAGTTAAGCTACTAACTCTTCATAAACAAAGTTAATAGTTTAAGACTAACTAGAGATAAAAAATACTCTATAATTTTATTTAAGAAGTTTATAGTTAAATACAAAACTCTGTAAAAAAGTCTAAGTAAAGTACAATATTTAGAATAAAAATTATTGAGAGTAACTCTATCTTGTAGAGTATTGATATTAGTGATAAGCAAATTATGATTTTCTAAAATATTCTGTATAGGATATGAGTTATATATATAATCTGCATATAATATACAGGATAGAATTACATATTAGATTTTTTAAAATTATGTTAATGCAGACTAGCTAATCTGAATTGGGGATTATATTAAAAATTCTATGCAGAATCTAAAAAATCATACAAATTTTATATGCATAATCAGTATGTAATCCTATATAGATCTTATATATATCTATTACTAATTAATACTATATATAATAGCTAGTATTATAGAAGATAGTTATATAGTAATACAGAAAAATAAGTTTATATTAGCAAGAGTATAGCAAGAACTAATATTATTATACAGTATAATATAATTGCTTAGAAGAGTTATATGATAACTAATAGAGTAATAAAAGAAGCAAAAAATATATAAAATATAATTTTTTTTTTTTAACTTAGGTGACCTTACCCTTAGTTTATTAGTAGAAAATTTATAAAGAAATCATAATACAAAAATAAGAAAAAAACTAATGTTCTAAACTACTAATGTATCCTACCCTTGCAACCTCAAATTCACTCAGCTTGCCTTACGCTACTCAGGTGCGATCTACCGCAAAAAGTATTTATCACCCTAAAAGGTATCCTACTGAAGTAGGGTGGTTCCTTCAGATCAACAATAGGTTCTTTTATGCCTTATCAAGGTTCTAGGTTGCTTCTAATCTAATCAAAACTAAATTACAAACTATTAATACCTAGTCCAAGTTAAAAATAAAAATTGTTA